TATATTATGCTTTGCGCAAGACCTTTCATTTGTTATCCTGTTGGATATATGGGCAGTTATCATCAAAATGCAACTGAAGAGCACTGGCAAAATGCCGCATTATACTAAAGCCAGCCTTTTGACATAAGCTACCTTTCCATACGAACACAGATATGTAGGTATGTAAAACGTGCATAGGTATGTATGTACATGGCTAAATAAAATAAGCTTACCTGTTCCATTTAATACATATTTGTACATACATATATCATTAACTCACTATGGTAAATATATTTACTACATTTGTACATATGTATGTATACATGTACGTATTACTTTTTCTGCAAACATATGCACATGTAAACATACTTAGCTACACTGAATATTGTGGACGAATTATATACCTGGTTATGCTCACATATATTTAAATATTCATAGATATATCCATAAGTATGTATGTATATACATAAGGGTGTTAAATTTTTAGGCTATATTTTTTTCTCCTTCAAAAAAACCGATTTCCCATATAAATAAGGCGGGACATTTTTTTTCGTCTCAATTCGATTTTTTCAGTAATAAAAAAAATTTTAGACCAAAAAATTTGCCACAAAAAAGTTCTTCTGAGCAAATGACGTCCGACCAACGGTTTTTGAAGCAGGAAGCAATTCCGGATGCTAATAAGAAAACATTAATGTTACCACCACCAACTCAGAAATGAAAAAAGTACCTTTTTAACCGACTTCAAAAAAAGGGGGAGGTTATCAGTTCGTCGGAATATTTTTATATTTTTTTATTATCTTTTTTATGTATGTTACCGCATTACTTTGGACCACGTCAACCGATTTCGATAATTCTTTTTGCATCGGAAAGGCAGTGTATCAGAGGTGGTCCCGTTCTAATCTGGTTAAGATCCGATCAGTGGAAGTGGTGAAGTCGTTATTTTTTTGCTAAAAATTACTTGTTTTAAATTACAGACCTTTTACGCGATTTATTAAAAAAAAAATATGTTAAAGGTATTTAGTTTTAAGAAAATGCAATTGCTTATGGCGTTTTCTTTACTCGAAAAAAAATTAACACGCAATATGCATGCGGCAGGGCAGAATAAATGCAACATTTTTTCGAGAAAAGAAGACGCTATTAGTTTTTATTCACACGGCCCATTATCAAAATTTATATGTATATATTTACTGAATTTAAAGGTTGTTCTTACAATTTATTATAACCGATTTCGTATGTAAGAATTCGTATTGGGCCTTTTTTGTAGCAAATTTCGTGCCCTACAACAATTGTACACTCAGTTTTCCCCAACAAAATTTTTTAAACCCGAAAATTCGAACGGCATCATTTTTTTTCTATAAAGTATCTGATTTTCAGGTATCAAAGAGAAAAACATATCGCCAAAAAATGAAACACCCTAATGACCATGAGTGTTGTGCATACTATTTACGTACATGCCCTTCGCACAGGTACTATCTAATGCCTCAATGGTCTGAGAGCGCCATAATTTCCCAGCAGCTACCTGGATAGTAGTGTAAAAATCTCTCACATCTTAATTATGCCTACCTCCTCCCCGGGATTGCAATTTTTCGACGACTCCTTAGTTCAGTGCGATTTTAAACTTTGCATTGCAATGAGGTTTGAAGTGATCTTCGTTTTAGTATATGTGTCAATTTCGGGAACAGCTTGCCGCGCAACAGATATAAAAGACTATGTTAAATTTCACGCAGGTCCACGAAATAAGTCATCATATTATAGTATATCCTTAGGTATGATATTGAACTGCCCCTTACTCAAATCATGGGAATCCAAAAACGTAGTGCCAAGGGCACGTAACCATTTCGTAGCGTTGGCAAAACAAAGGATACTAAACCATAAGCCGCCGTTGCTAAAAAAATATGCTCCATATGTGCCCTCTAGGAAAAAGTATGCAACAACAGTGAAACCTGACGTAGCATTTGCAAATGTAGTAAACACAAACACTACTAAAAAAATCGAAATAAATTCTGTAGTGACGCAAGTAACACAAGTTACCGAAAGTTCGACGACTGACTCCAAGGATTCGGTGCTGGTGGAAACTGTTCCTATTGCTGCAGAATTACCCAACCAATATTCAGAGACCACGCTATCGACTGAGTCAATTACAACGACAACTCAAAAGTTTTCGGAACTCTCCACAAGTGGCCAAAGTGAATCTCCTACGCAGTATTCAGTATCGACTGCTACCGTTTCCGTCACTTTTACACCATTTGTCACCACAGAAATTGATTCAACTTCAATAAGAGAAGAGGAGACTACAACTGTATCGATAATTGAAAATAAGTCCAACATAATGAACACAGTGGAAGACATTACAACTGAGGTGATATCAACAATTCAAAACGAGTTTGCCACGTTAACTACGCTTGAGGAAACCACAACTGAAGTTTTATCAACAATTCAAAATGAGTTCGCCACATCAACTACGCTTGAGGAAACTACAACTGAAGTTTTATCAACAATTCAAAATGAGTCCACTTCTTCAACCACGCAGGTTGAGACTTTAAGCCAAAATGTTTTAACAATCGAAGATGACCCTAGTATATCTACTACCCAGGCAGAGATTACAACTAAGTCTATCACGGATTATCCACTAACGCTTGAACGCGTATCCGTCACTCCTACTTCATTTGCCGGCACGGCAATTTATTCAACTTGGACCGCAGAAGGAGAGTTTAATGCACAAGGTCATACTACAATCGAAAACGAGTCCACTATAACCCGAGGTATTCCTACGTCTCAGCATGGGTCCACTACACCTACCCCACAAGAGGAACAAGAGAAAACTTCAACTAATAGCGTGTCAACCATGCAAAGTCCAATCACAAGTTTACCGCTGGATACAACTATTGCCATTGAGCCAACCACGTTCTCTGAGCTAACTGAGATTTCCACAACATCCACTGAAAGCACAGTTAACTTATGGACTGCAATAACAACCACTACTAAAGCAATTTTGGAAACTTCTATGGATAATACTTTAAGAGAAGAAGCCATCGAAGGGGCTACAAGTACAGCTTCTGTTCATGATGAAACAACTCAATCAGATAATTTGCAATCTACTGTCGTTTGTTGTAACAGTGGAGAAACGACTACAATGGGTTCAGACGCTACTGAGTTCAATCTTAGTAATCTAACAACACTAACGGTAACGGAGTTTAGTACCGAAAGTAGTACAACGGATTCATCGGAAGATCGGTCTGTTACCAGCCTAAACTATAATATTCAAAACACCTTACCTTATGAACTGGTCGTCGATAATAGTGTCGAAGAGGCTAAAATCATAGAAACTTCAACAATAGAAGCTGAAAGATCAGACGGCTTTGCAGATACAAATAGTATTACGGTTGAGGATACCCAAATGAAGCCTATGACATTTACTTACGACACTGACGTTATGCCTACCTTAGATTAATTATAGATTTTAATTTTTTATTCTATTTTAAATTAATATTTATTTGTATAGAAAAAAACTGTAATACATATATTGTATGTATATAAGTATAAAACAATGAATCCATTACTGACATTATAAAATAAAGCTTTACCCCAGCCTCAAAGTAAAATAGTTTTCATCGAAGTTATGCAATGCCAGTTATTTTAATTTTTACCCGGTAATTACCTTTCATATTCATTAGAAGCAATGTGCGCCTAGGGAAAATTTTTACACTATACTCGTGAAACGCGAAGCAGAAGTTATATCTGGCATGGCCGTTATAGAACGAACTTTATATAAGGTTAATACAGATCTCTGCGTACAATCGATTATTCACTGAATTTTTTAGAAAGTTATCAATACTTTTCGATACCAAATTTCTTCTTTTCAATTTCTTCAGTGCAAGCCTGTTAATGATCAGCTGATCTCTAATCAAAAACGTGGAGATCGCATTTTTCGATGTTTTTAGATTTTTCCATTTGTTTATCATGAGTAACAATAAACCGAAGGAAACAAAGGGAAAACGGAAGGGTTTACCGAAATTGAAAACAATCTTGGCTAATCCAAACAAGGATAAATGGTAGGTATCAATATATTTTCTGTAATAAGATTTACTATATAACACTTTCAGTCCAGCATTGGATGATGAAGAATTGCAGCAGCTCCAACAGTTACTGAGTGATGCCATCAGCAACAGCAATCAAAGGCCACAACAGTTCGCTACTTCGGCGCATATTCGATTGGGATTGGAGAGTAGTTTGCGTGCTATCAATAACTCGAAATGTTCTTGTGTTTTGTTGTCTTTGACCATTCAACCTCGATTTTTGGTGAGACTAATAGCGCGGAATGTCGAAGCTAAAGATGCCACAGTGCCTGTTTATGTACAAAGCCAATTAGAGGAATTTACCAAAGACGTTTTTGGTATTCGTGCGCTTGCCTTAGTTTTACCTACATTGGAGGAAATGCGTGTGAGTAAGCTAGATACACTTATTCATTGGATTGAATCGCGCACAAAGCGCCTGAATACAAAGATAGCAAGATCAATCCCGAAACGAATTAAACTGGTAAGGAAAACAGCTACTAAACTTGAATGCAAAGCACTTCCTAATGCGACAGAGATGATCACGATAGAAAATACAAATAAGCAATGGGGAGGAGATTTTATATCCTTTTCGGATGTTATGGACGTTGAGAAAGTAAACTTGGCAGAGGATGAACAGAAATTGGAAGATGTTTTACGAAAAGTTGCAGAGAAAACCAAAAAACCAGCTACGTCCGAACATGAAGAGAAAAGCAAACACGTTATAGGTACACCAAACCGCAATGATGAAAGTAATGATTTGACCTCGAGCGATTCCGACGATTTTCTTCCAGAAATGTATAAGCCTTTAACGGTACACAAAATACAAGCGAATCCAAACAAAAAACCAAAAAAGAAGCGCCAAAAAAAGAATAAACAAAAGAAGAATTAAACATTTTGGCTTAATTTCGTTGTCCCTACAACGCATTAACACGGCAGCCCTGTTCAACAGCTGTTTATTTTAAGGTTATGTTGGACTATAGTTTTTCATAACAATTTTCTATAGTATCTCATTTAGGCAGCACGTATTCGATATCAAAAATGATAAAGTTAAGAAATGTAAAAACATTTAATAGAATAATTAGTTTTACTCAAAATAATGCGGTGCGGCCGGCAGTCTTGGTTTGTCAAAAAAATACAGATACCGCGCCTAAAACATGGTATAATCACTTGCCCCACACTATTCTCCAAATACATACAGGACAAATATTGCAGAAGCATAGCAAAAAATCTAGGCAACGGGACGATGAAAGTGATAGTGACGATGAGAGTGGAGTAGAATTTAAAGATGAAAGAGATTCCAAAGTGCTTAAGACAAGTGTCAATTCATTGAGAGCTGATTTGGTAATTAAAGCTGGATTAGGAATGGCTAGGAAGTAAGTTATTCATTATACTAATTGGGCGTTTTCAATGTACTATGTATATTTACAGCAAAGTAGAGGCTATTTTCTATGAAAGTAAAGTACGTGTTAATGGCAAAAAAGTGAACAAGAAAAGTGTACAAGTATGACTTAAAATATACTTATGCTTTATGCTTCCTTCTAAAATAGATTTCATTTTCAGCTTAATGTGGGAGATGAGATTGACGTAGTACGTGGTTTCAGTCAAGCGAATCCAACTCATCTGGTGGTGTCTCGTGTTGTTGTGCTCGACGTTAGTGAGCGTGAGGAAGGCTTTGTCGTACAATTGCGGCGTTATAAATCACTACTTATAGAGAATTACTCAGGTGCTAATGCCTACAAGTCATCAGATGCTGTGCAGCACTGACGCAATGTAAACTAATTTAAATTTCTATTTATTTTTTATAATAGGAGTATTCATCTAAATGCGAATATGTCTCGTAAGCAAGTAAACCTCGTAAACTTACTTTTGTATTCTAAACCGGGTCATTTACGAGGTTTACGCGGCATTCAAGTTTACATGAAAATTATGCAAATACAGGATTATAGAAAAAAATAGATATGTAGTGACATTTAAGTTTTATTATATAATTGCCATAATTTAGCGTTAACTAAAATATGTTCAATCTAGGGATGTTTCGAATGTCATATTTTTAATATTTGCGAACGCGAACGCGAATTTTCGGAATATGAATATGCGAATGCGAATGTTAGGAATAACATTAATAAAAAATCTATACAGTGTTTTAATCTAGTCAAAGTTCAAAAGGGGCATATAATATTTCAAAAAATTTATTTTGCTGCCTTTTCTCCCATGAGGCAATTTCTTACGAGGCTCGTACATAAGGCCGGATGCGCTGAACAATTGCTCACTTGAAACGCTGTCAGGTGGAGCGCTCAAATATTTGCGGGGCAGATCTGTCAACTTGTATTAAGTTTAGTTTTCCACCGCGATGAGCTCGTTTTTCTTTAAGATAGGCCTTCAATTGAGCTTTAATTTCAAATTTTTTATGTCCAGATTCTACATCCAAGCTTTCGCTGGAGGAATCTAAAATTATTTCTAGGTTGCTTGTTAGAATTTTAGGAGTACTTGTTGAAGGCCCATCAATGTTGCTTCATATACTACTTAAACGTTTAGCGCCTGAAACAAAAAACCGGTTGTTTTCCGCACCCTGGTTAGACAGACTTAGAGCCATTTCAATAATAGTAGAGTGGACTCTATGCTCGTTTACACATTCGCATTCGCAAAACATTCGTATCATTTGATTCGAATGTGTAAAATAATACGAATCATTCGCATAATGAATGCGTATGCAAATATTCGCAACATCCCTGTTCAAGTTAATATTAGTGATGGCAAACTATCGATGGTCCTGAGTATCGATACTATCGCCGATATTTCATGCCTAAGTACACGTGCATGAAACTTCCACAGAACTAATTTCACAGTTATGCATACTTAGCTTTGCATGAGAGTTGTCACATAAGAATCTGTTAACGGGCCTTGCGTGTAAGCGGTTACACAACGTCTAGCACTTAACATGTAGCATTTTGTTGGGTTTTGGTTATACGTAAGAATGGTATAGCAGTGCAAGTATGCATAATAGCCTCTGTTAAGGCTCTGTTATGCATACTTGGCATTGCATGCACTGCTATACCATTTTTACATAGAAATCAAAAACCAACAGAAGGCTCTGTTAGGCATACTTGGCATTGCATGCACTGCTATACCATTTTTACGTAGAAATCAAAAACCAACAGACTTTTACATATGTAATGCTGTGCGTTGGGTAACCGCTTACACGCGAAGCTCATTTAACAGATTCCTTATGTGACAACTCTCAAGCAATGCCAAGTGTGCATAACAGAGCCTAGACTTCTACGTATGTAGTGCTGTGCGTTCGATAACCGATTACACGCGCGGCTCATTTAACAGATTTCTTATGTGACAGCTCTCAAGCCATGCCAAGTATGCATAACGGAGCCTTCATGCATTCTTTGCTTTACGTGAGACTTGTCACATACGAATCTGTTAAATGGGCTTTGTATGTAAGCGGTTGCCCAACGCATAGCACTTAACGTGCTTAACGTAAAAATGGTACAGCAGTACAAGTATGCATAACTGGTCTATAACTTGGGGGTGGGGGGGGAGGATGGTTGATATAGGACAATTTTGCGAAGACAATAGCAATATATGCACACTTTTTACTAATGTATTCACACTTCTCTCTTTGTCTTCGTAACTGTCTTTGATTTTTGGAAGACAGTGAATTTAACAGTAAATTGGACAATTCGGTCACGTCTTGGTTAATTTGAGAAAAAGAGGCAAGACAAAATCGCAAAAAATCACAGGATTATGAAGAAGTGGTTTGTGTTCGAATATTTTAGTAATTGGTATGAAATTCACGCCGAACGACACTTAAACTATGTTCACATATCAATATTATCTCAATCAAAGCTCGTTTTTTAATCACCCCGTTTACACAGGTAAATCTCAGATTATTAGCCGTCAAATTTGTTGTGCTTGTTATTCTCAAATCTCAAGGAAAAGTTATGTTTCTTCTCTGTGCCACCGTGATCACGTTTTTATGCTATAAAAATTCCCTGGAATAATTAGCTGATTCCCTATTTTAGCCCTTTCAAATAGAGGCTGAGTTCTAAGTTGCATTAATGCAAAGCATCAGCCTCTTTTATTTGTAAATTATAATTGATGGAAATGTCCAATTTGCCCAACTAAGTTCCAATTCGGCATATGAACGTGGTTGCGCATATGGACTTTTACATCAGTTATAGTTCAGAAATAAAAGAGGCTTTGCGTTAATGTAACTTAAGTTACAATTGGAACTCAGGTAGATTTATTTCGAAATTACAGAAAAGGTGAAGTGCTATTCTTTAACCATGGATTATGCATGTATTTCTTGCTTATCCAATACAACCCTGCGGTTAGCCATTCTTATTTGACATTTGGGAAACGCGGAAATCGTGATATTTTTATTATGGATAATTGTATGGTTTGAGTGAAATTTGTTAAACACTTTATAACTAATAAGTGCTAAAATAAAATAAATATATGAAATTATTATCTGGTTAGCGGGTGAAAATATCAAACTTTTAGTTGTGCTAGTTACCTTTTCGTACAAACCCACTAAGAACCTACG